CTACGGGTGCCATGGCTCTCACCAAGCATACTGTCGTATACAGCAGTTTGCTACAGCATAGCCGACGCACGTGAGTTGACTGATATATCGGGCAGCATCTACATCCTGTCGGGCGTCCAAGGCACAACTAGAATCGGTGGGGGATGGAACCGATTTCCGCTGCCAGGGGGTATAGCGCCCTCGCTGTCACCTCAGCTTTGAGTGCATGGTGCGACTGCCCACACATGACAGTCTGAGAATCACAACAGAATGTGATATAAGCTCACAAGCTCATCTTGTTCAAAGGCTATGTTTGTCTCAGAGAGAGAGCACGTACAGCTCCACAATAGTTGGAATGGTACGTGGTTTGAGGCTTGCAACAAACCGCATCTTGTGCTGCGAGATGCCAGCAGCTGGTGGACTTGCACCCCACGCAGGCGGGAAGCAGGCGCAGGGATGCAGCCAAAAGTCAAAGAGTAGCTCTGTGCTCGGATCGTCGAGCACCTCGTATGAGGCTCGTCAGATGCACCAGTAGCATGACACAGATCTAGAATCTCGTCACACGAAGCAGGATCATGTTGAGGTGGAAAATTTCTTCAGGGGTCGAGAGTTGAATCTGGCCAAAGGCTCGAGTGGCTGCACTTGTGGATCCTCCTCCTCATCCTCCGTCTCACCCTCCTCAGACTGCTTGGTCACATTCGGCGCTGAGCAAGGTGGTGCCGACACGCGGATGGTGCCGTTGGTCTTCTTCTCGCCTTGCCAGATCTTCAGCCACATTCTTGGATGTATGCTCGTCACTCGCTCCGCCCCCAGCACCTTGGCACAACGGGGGACAGGGAACTCCGTGGGGAAGCGGTGCAGTGGCTAAGCCTTCATGCTGACTTTCCATGCCCAGCCTTGCGACGAATGTGTGGCCCAGCACGTCCATGAGCTGCTTCTTGCCACGTCCCTTCAGGCGGCAGCGGTGCGCCTTCCGACTTCGGGTGGTGCCAGAATTTGCGTGAGTCCTGGCACTCACAAGCTTGCATAGCCTCGATGAAGAAACACTTTGTCACTGGCGACAGAAAACCTGAGTGAAGAAACACTTTGTCAAGACTCACAGAACAGAGGTATCGAACTGAAACATATGCCAAAACCCTGGACCCAACTCACAACAGTGAGGAAAACGCGCTAATAAGTTGTGTGAAAACGCCACCGCACCCGCCTCATCGGAGATTCGCCATTCGCCCGTCTCACCATATTGCCGAGAGAATCCTGCGTGGGTGCTTCTGGGCTGTTTGGGGCTGCGCCGAGACGCCACGGACGTCAAGAGCCAGAACTTTGGCCCGAGACCTCCTAAGTGCACCTACCTCCTCAACACAGAGTCATGTCGCGCGCCTCGAGCGTAATAGATGACGCCGCTGCCGTCTCGTTGCTTGTACTTCAGGGTGCCGGCTTCAAAGTACTCACCATCGAGGCGGGACTCATCTGCAGGGAAACCTTCGACCACATAGTAGGTGGCAGCTGCTTCCTGCGAAAGTCAGCTTCCGTGTTGCCGTCGCTGCTGCGCTTCGCTGATTGCAGAAGACTTGGGATGTCGAAAGCTTCCATACACAGCTGAGCGACAGTTACAGGAATATAGGGCCTTTTTTTTAGGATCATCCGCGTTTGGTCCCGGACCGGGCGGGGCTTGCTGCAGTCTTCTGGGAGTCAACGTGCTTTCTAAACACCAAAAGCCCACCAACAGCCTGAAAGGTCCCAGAAGCAGTATGGGCTTTGTATGAGCGGAAAGTTGATGCAGCCCCTCCCCTCATCTCTTTGAGGCAGTGATGGTGCCAGTGCTGCCTATGTGTTTAGGGAGGTTTGGAAAGCGTCAGCTGCATTCTTGCCAGTTTTCTGTGTTGGCGGCGAAACAAGACCGCCGACAAGGCTCGGTGATGCTTTAAGCGGAGTCATTTGATAGAAGCCTGTCTCGGGATGGAAATTGGAACGAAACCTGGGTGACGGATCACAACAATCAGGATCAACAAAAATAGATCAGGATGCGAGGCGGGGTTGTCACTCTTGTGGCCACGAGGTGACTGAACCGTTGCATTCACAAGTCGGGGGCAAGGCGGTGCGGGGGCGGGCAGGGGGGGGGGGTTGGGGTATTTTATTTGCATGCATGGATTTGCCTCGCCCCTGGCCGGCGAGTCCTTGGCTGTTCGGCTTCATGGTCCTGTTTCCCTCGCTGGGATGTGTGTGGATTCGGTGGCTTCAGTCACTTCAGTCTCCCATCGCCGGCTGCTGCCTGGTACTTGGCACGTCTCAAGCCCATGGAGGGTCATGTTGGCTTTGGTTGCAGGCATTTTTGAAAATGTGGTGCGGGCGAGGGTTTCCCAAGCCTGGGCTGGGTCACACCCCACCCCCCTGCAGCCTCAGGCGACGTGAAGCTGTGGCTTCGCCAGGGAAGTTTGGGTTTTGGGCTTAGAGGGCAGCCCAGACTTAGACCATGGGGCTTGTGGTGCTGTAGCTCCCGGTCATAGGTCTTTCAGATGGGATCTGGAAGCACACGTGACACCCGGAACTGAACCGTACTGAACCTGAACGTCAAACCTCAACTCATCCATACTTTGTCTGAGCTCTGAAAACTTCCTGCGAGGAGGAGCACTGGCACACAAACTCATGGCAAGGGCTCAGCCTAGACTAGGTGACTAGATGAGAAAACGCTGCCAAGAGGCCTGGCTCTTGTGGAAGGTGTTTTCAGTGTCATTGATGGTTGCCTTTGCAAGGCAGTGAGTTACTCCCGAAGGAAAGAGGGGAGAAGCATGCCTGTGACCAGTAAACTGAGTAAATACCAGCCGCCTCCACAGTTACAGAACCTTTGATGAAGACGTCGCTGACCAGGTTGACGGCCTCTGACTTCACGCAGGCGATGATGACGCCATGCAGCTCCAGGTAGGCTTCTGACTCGTTCTTGTAGTCCTCCACGGCACACAGCACCATCCAACTCTCTACGCTGAGCGAATCAGAACAGCGGACTCGAGCGCAACTGTAAACAGCTCGAATCTTGGCCGGAGCAAGGGCACCGTGGCCCCACAATGGTACGAGTAACTTTATGGACGATGACTACACCTCTGTATACTATGACTGTATATGACGCGAGGAAGAACCACCAACCGACGGGCGTCGAGCGGCTAACTCAACTCAGGCTTCACAACCGTCCTTGTTCGGGCTCACCCGCTGAATGGCCCAGTCGTCCTTGTTGCAATCGGGCACCGCCTCCTTCAATCGCACGAGCCAAAAGGACTCCTCACAAGGGAGGCCGCGCTTCTGAAGGTGCAAGCGCTAGCAGGCCTATGGTGCACTGTAGTGGGCCTAGCGTCACGACATGTCACGACATGTCACATGTCGCACCCTACACCAGGCCTGGCGGGTGTGGCCGTGCTTGTAGTAAACTGGGCCCTGGCCCTCCTCCTCGACATTCTCGCCGGCGAAGCAATACCTCCCCGAGAGGTAGTAGTGATTCGGGACCTGCAAGTCCAGGCAGCTGTGGCGCTCCCCGCATCCGGGATATTTCTCCACCACCTCCGACTCAATGCAGGAGTGCGTTAGGCCTGTGCAACGCGGACCTGCGAACCAGCAGCCAAGATTACCCGCCTGACGGATCGAGTAATGAGAGCACGTGGGGGTTGAGCGGCAGAGGCTTCGGCAATCCTCATGCCACTTGGCAACAGAAGGCAGCGAACCATACTTCTTGTAATAAAAGTCGTCGTACTTCAGTACAAATTCGGTAAACGCACGCTTCTTGGATGCCCAGCACATCGAATCGCGCAGCTGGATCTTGATGGATGTCGTGATGATGGCACCCTGTTCCACTGGCGACCATTCATAGTGCCCATAGAAAACGCAGTCCATATCGATTGTCCTTCGTGTCTGATCTGAGTTCAGGGCATCCATCACACGAGTCATGGACTCCTCTGGACTGATGCGCAGGTCACCATTTTTCACATCCAACTCGAAGATCCGATGACCTTCGTACGTGGCCACGCCTGTAAGCGTGTCACATGCATATTTCGGGTCATTTAGGGGATCTGCATCATCATAGCAGAAGGCTGAATATCGCGTTGGGCGAACTGCAGTCCGAGGTCTCTTCTCCACTCGCTCCACCTTCAGAAGCGGAGTGCGCTCTCCAACGGTGACGAAAAGTGTCCGGTCATCACCATAGGGATACCTGGCCAGTGGGGACCAACTTTACTTTGCTCATGCACACTGTTCTCCTAGATTCCTAGATCAGTCTGGAAACCACTGGAATTGCTGACTGGCACTCCCTGCTTGGGTGTCATCGACTCATTGCCGAATCCACCGATTCCTTGCATCTCCTTCTTCGAAGCGCCAAGGGCCACAATCCTACGCCATCAGCCTATTGCCATCATGTTTTGCCACAAACCAATGTTTAGGGGCAACCAGGCAACCAATCGCAGGCCAAACCCGGCTCATAAACTCGCCAAGGCCACCTAAATGCCTTCCAGAATTCAGGTGCCCATACCATGACTTCCGTGTGCGCATGTCCTTTCCGGATGGTGCAGGCGGTCGCTCTGCCAAGGCGTCGCCCTGTCTCAGCAGTGAGGCCTGACGTGCCATCCTCTTCCTCGTTCCCTTTCATCTTCTCCTTCTTCTTCTTCTTCTTCTTATCCTCCGCATCCTCTTCCTCCTCCGTCGTTTCCTCCTCTTCGTCTTGCTCCTTCTTCAATGACAGAGCTCCCGTGGACTTGTCAAACTCCAGCCAGTTGGCTTCCGGAGCGCATGCAATCGCGAAGTCGCTGTCGAGAAAGGTCTTCACGTCCTTGTGCACTGCCGGTGTGAGCACCGTCGACTCATCAACAAGGAAGAGGCGCTTGGCCCCGTAGTTGATTAAGCCGATGTTAAGGGACAGCTTGGCGGATGCTCGCCCCACGCGGGCTTTGTACGCAGTCACGGTGCAATCAACCTCAGGGCGGCTTCGTTCGACATAGCGGGTTACTGTAGGATAGAGAGTATAGTCGATAAATCGATAAAGTGTACTATGGTATGTATGCTTTGATGAAACTTGAAGCAAGTGGTAGGGTTAACGTTGCCTCGACGGGTGTCTCAAAGCAGCCCACTGCACCGCAGTTGGCGTCATCCACCAGCTTTAGCTTCCCCGTTCTGGGCTCAATGGTTAGCCCATACTTGCTGAGGTCGCACTCCTGCGCAATCAGCAGAATCGTTGGAGTTTTCAAGCAGAGGACGTTCAACAACCAACAAGCAACTGGCCTGGCAAGATTACAAAGGCGCAGCAATGCCAACCAAAGATCCGAACGGACAAGGGAAGGCCCTGAGTGCAGTTAGCCCACGAAAATCAATACATGACATCCCCGAAACATATGTGCTTCACTGCTCAAGGCCACAACTTCTTGAGTCCTCGTTCAAGGTGTAGTGATTCGCCGTCCGCGGCACAGGGTATCCCATGACCTCCGTATCTCCGATGGCCATGGGGCCAATGTAGTAAGTAAACCTGAAGCGATCAGATGGGGTTTGCACGGGCATTCGGGTCCGGGCATGCTGTGGACCCTACTTGGAAGCTCCCTTCTCTGAAACAAGGAGCGCCGTTGCCTCCCTGTGACCACCACCACACTCGCAGCAAGCCATGTTACTGGAGACTCCTTGATAGAGCTCGTCTGAGCAGGTAGACTTCACTGCAAAGCAGTTGTTTCCATCTTTGTCGACCCAGCTTGGATAATCCATGCAAGCTTGGCAAGAAGCCTCTTTCTTTGTCTTCCGGGCACTCGAGAAGCCTCCTGTGCAGGTAGAGCATCGTGCGCTTGCGAAGTCATGGTCCGCGCAACCTGAACAATGTTCGTCCAGCATGCTGCAGCACGATGTTTTGAAGAATGGGGCGGATCGCAACGGCTGAAACAGCCTGAACTCCTTCCTCGCGTCACACTGCTCGAAGTTGCTTGAACGTCCCTTGGTTGACTGAACCGTGGTGGTGTTCAGTGCCACTTCTCCCAGCAGCGGCTTGTGACGTCGGCAAAGGCGAAAACTCTCGTCGTCGAGCCCATGCACCTGCTTCCGGGATGCCAAAGACTTTGGCTGAGCAGGAGTGACGACTGGAACATCCCGAACGCCCTGCTGCATGGAAGCCATCTTGCTGGTCAGTCCTTGGTGGAACGAGGAACCAGCCTACAGCCTGCGAAAACCGTCTTAGACCCACGACGTATCCTTCAAACTGTGCTGACAACATCCAAACGGCGCTCCAACTGCTGTTGCTCCCTTGCTCGCGCCGCCTTCTCTTCGCTGATCTCCGCCTGAGCAACTGTACTTGCAGTATTTGCAGTCTTTGAATGTTCTGGTAGCGACGTAGTTCAAGTTTGAATGCTACCAATAATGCCTTCCAGAATCGTGCCACAGTACCTCTTCGCTTGTTGATTTCTTGCTGAAGAAGCCCATAACCTGTCAAACCACTGTCCTCTTTGGCACGAACTTCCTTGTCATGCTCAGCGTGTTCATTTTTGATCTCGGCCAGCAGCTCCTGCGAGCCATTGTTCGGCAGCTTATGACACCCGAGCACCCGAAACACTTCAATAGGGAAAGAAGAATCGCTGGAATCTGTACCACCAGTGAGGGCTTGGATTTCAATACCTTGGTCAAGACAATTACGTTTAGCACACGTTGGATAACGCAAAACTAGGCCCGCAGGACATCGTGTTTCGAGTCCACATCTTCGGCAATAGTTGAGCTGGCTGTTCGGCTTTTGCGAGGACCATAGGCTGCCAATTCGGAAACATACAGGAGTTTCATTGTTTTGGAAACAATGTCTTTTCTCCCGAAGCCACTCTTTCAGGATCTAGACTTAGATCCGGTGCAGCTTGCAATTGCTCCCAAGCAGAAACCATCAACTCTGACCGACACACATATGAGACAAGCGAGACCCTTCAGCCAAGAGTCCAAAAGCCCTCTAAAAAACATGTGCATTGTTGCCGACATGAATGCCAAAGTAGATCAGGACTCCTCCCCCAAGCCCAACTACTCGCTTTTCTGGAAAGGATGTTGGAGGAAGTTCCCTAGAAAGCCAGCGCTGACCCGCAGCTGAACCCAAGCATGTAATGGCAGGCCATGTTCAACCAAGCCAGACTCATCATAAACATACAAATGTATATCAGGGATCTCCACATTTTCTAAACGACGGCATGTCCAGGTGGCAGAGGGTTGCTGACTCAGAGTTCTTGCGCTCCCGTCAGTCAGACGCAGCCTTGTCTCACATCCATCAGAACCCCTACTAACCCCTACTTCTGTGCTGTGTCACAGCTCAAATATTCTGGCTGCGCTTCGAAGTTCCCATGGATCCCTGAGATGGCTCGTTCTGAGACGTCCGTGCACTTCGCAGCCCAACTCTTGAGCATCGAAGAGACTGCACCCCGCAGACAATGCTGCCACGGAAACCTACACGTATTCTCCCTGGGACTTTCGGCACGCCGTGAATTCAAAGCGCGAAGGATAGATCTTAAATTCTTGGTTCCCTCTAAACATGCAAAGACCATGATGTCATGATTCATGCTCTGAATTGAAGCCGAAATGCGCTCTCCAACTCAGGGCTTCGACAATAGCCAAGGATGCAGATAGCGCCACTGCTCTTCACACCGAAACCGGGTCCTCCTTGCTCTGCTCGTCCTTCTCACGCGTAGCCTTCTCCTCCCTGATCTCAGCCAATAGCGCCTACCAGCACGTGACTGCAGTCAATCTACGGTACAGAGACCTCAAGCTCAGCACGGACTTGGGAGGTTCCACGCCCTTCAGGAGGCTGCTCGAGTAGATGCTGGACTAGAGATACCATGCCACCACTACTACTAGAATTGCTAAACGGTAAACTGCACTGTAGTACAAACTATAGTTCGGGTCAGTTCTGGACCTTGGGATTCAGACCCTGAGGGCTTTCGGATTCAAGGTTCATGTTTAGGGCGTAGTGCTCATGTCCGGTCTTAAGGTCTATTTGCAAAATTGTAGTGCTTATGTTTACGGCTTCAGATTACGGGGCTTAGGCCGGCGAAGATCGAGAGCTAGTTTCCAGGGCCTTCCCCTCATGTTCAACTCTGCTGTTGCGCAGGGGATTCCCGCAAGACCCCAACGATAAAGCCGAAAGTGTGAACCCAAAGCCTAAGCCTCGCGGAGATCGGAACGCAATGCCTAACATGGTCCCTCAGCATCCCACCTCCTGGATGCGATGCTCACTGGCGCGTGCTGCCCTCTCCTCCTGGAGCTCCCTTTCAAGATGCTCCTTGTGAGACCAGAACATGATCAGCTCCACACTGAATAAAGCAAGATGATCAGAACAATTCCCCAAGAACTCATGTCGCGAACTGCAGGTCGAAGAACGTACTGCCGCAAGGGCCTAGGTCCTATCCCGCACCGGACCCTGAACAATGTCCAACCCTGCTCCTGAGTGCTGTGAAGACCAACGCTGGCCTTCGCACTGGCTCCCATGAACAACCGTAGAACCCAGTTCGGTAGCCTTTTCCCATGCTGCGTAGCCCGCAATTGCTGTCTAGACGCCCTAGCCTATCTACGTCTGCCTTGGTGCACGGAACATGAACACGGGCCCGTCACGCCTTTGGTCGTATCTAAGCTTCTGTCATGCCACGGCAATGCATAGCAGCAGGGCCAAGAAATCTTGGCAGCACAGGCTCCTCTTGAAGGGGCATGTGGTGCATTGATGGCCGCAGATTAGTCGAGCTGTACACAACAGGCCGTCCATACATGTGGCATATGATAGTCTTCTATGGAACTCTGTAGTATACGAGTAGTATACTACAGTATGATCGTATACTCCAGATTGCTAGAATATTCAGAGCAATCTAAGACTCTGTAGTCCAGTTTCTTCAACCCTCTTTGCTTTAGGGCAGGGCCAGCCTCGCTCAGCACTTGCCTCATTGCCTTCATCATGTTGGAAGTCTGCGTGTCCTGACAGCTTCACTTGAACAACGCAGAAGAAAACCTTTTCCTTAGGCTTTCTGGATCCTGCCCCGAGATCCAAAGCCTAACTGAGCGCCGAAACTGCGCATCCCGTGAAGCTGCAACTCCCTAGAACTCACATAGACTCCTGTGATCTAGAACAAAGAACTCGATGGGGCAGCTACGATTCCACAAATGAGAACAATGCTAGGACGGCAACCGAGTTTGGGGCTCATGTCAATCCAGCCCTTAGGAGTTTTTGGCCTGGACCTGTGCAAATTCTGACATGAGGGGTTTGGAGGGCTTAGGGTTGAAGAAAGCCTCTTTCCCCTCGTGCGATGCTCCGGTTCACAGCAAAGGCCTCCAACTGTTTCATGATACTAGCTGATAATAGCCTAGTATAGCAGAAGCTACCCAGTACGATCAATTCGCTCCGTCATTGTGAAACATTGCTTGCATGTAGCTGGTTCGCAAGCACGCGCCTCGATGCTGTGCATGCCATAAATGGCCTTCAAAGCAAACACATAGGCACAGAAGATCACAGAAGCCTACCCACGCTCCTTCAGTTTAGAAACCGCGCACGGCACCTGTCCACGACTGTGGGAGATTTTGTACTCCCGACGACTGCCCACGTAGGACGAGCTAGCGGCCTCAAGAATAGCCCTGACTTCACCCTAAACCGTAAACCGTATCACTGCAGGGCTTCAGGATTTGGAGCCCGAAGCCTGTGTTGACTTCATTGTCTCGGACGTCTGCTCCTGAAGCTCATGAGGTTTGGATTGTCGCTTTGTTCATGAAGGGTTTCCCGAGACTGCGGACTTTTGGGGGTCATGTCAGATGATGGTGAGATGATGCTGTTTCTTGGATCAGAGGATGACCACTACACCGGGCCTACATGACTGCATGTCGGGTCAAACACAGAATCTAAATGACGATTCGCGCGGTCAACTGGAATCAACATCTTCGAGCTCTTTTCAACAAGGTGGCAGGTCTGAAGCTCAACATCCTGCACAAATCCCCGTGCTCAAGTGCCAATATCAAGAACGAATCGAAACTCAAAGGCTGAGAGTCAGGGGCTCTTGCCGTCCTCCAACACTGATGCCCGCACATATCAGGTGCTGTCATGTAGCCGCGCTGTTTCAGGCCCCTGTTGTTTTTCTTGGGTGCGGCATCTCAGAAAGCTGCCAAGGAACTGCAGACTGCTCGTGAAGAGCTTGCTCTGCTCCAAGGACGACCTACATGTGGGGGTTGACTTGAGGCTGCATGATTCAGGTTGGGCAGACCCATCCAGCACAGCCCTTTCTGGCCGCCGAAATCTGCAACTTCGATTGAGAGCTTAACCAGGGCGGCTACTTCCTCAGAGAAAGGGGTGGCCGTAGACGGTTCTTGGACTTTGCGCTGAAGCGCATGCTGCCGAGCTATGCCGAGCTGACTTGGATATGAGGGACTGGGACGCAAGCTCGTCCAGGAATGCAGGGACTACGTAGGGGAAACAGTTGCGGCCGTTGCAAGTGATGGCGAGCCCAGAGCCCTAAGTATCGGGGACGGGCGGCAAGCTTGCCACCGAAAAGATCGTCGAAAACAATTTTTGTTGTGGCGTTTCATTTCAGGGTTCTTTAAGTGTGACAGCGCAGATCTACCTACGCCTTGGCATATAGACCCTGGCTGAGCCCCTGCGCTAGTTTGAACGACCGCCAGCGAGGTTGGCATCTGAGCGCCAGGTGCAAGTCGAAGCACCTCACCATAAACATCCTTGATCCAAACATCGCGCTAAAAAAAGTCGAGTCGCAGGTCACTCGCAAAGACGTCCACGACGCATGCCACATCTGCATGCTGCTTACGCACTCTCGCATGGCCGACGCAGTCCAGTGCTTGCGTGTGTAACATAACTCCAAACTCCCCTCATCCTGTAACCGAAGCCGAAGCCAAACCTGTCACTCCAAGCACTATTGACCATAGGCGAGTCGGAACCTACTTCACCTTGTAAAAGGGTCACGGCTCGACAAAATTGCCGATCAAAATATACTGCGATGATTCCCATTTCTCTTTCTTGTGTGCAAATAAAACTGCGTTTGTTTTCGCAGCTGAACTGGCAAATTAGCTGCTCTTCGAATGTAGGTTTGCGCCTAGGCACCATGTGCCCAGGACCTCACCCTAAACCGAACATCCCTGGAAAGGCAAGATCAAATGGTCACTGACTTTCGAGGTTTGCTGTAGGTATCTTGGAGTCGTAGAGACTCTTAGGGCTTCGGACTTGAAGGGTTCAAACCCCGGATCAAGCCGTGCCTCGCCCAGATTCCCGAGCTTGCGCGCAAGCGCCTTCGTTGCCAAAATGGCGTTGCTTCAAAGAGGCTTCTGGGCATCGGGCCCGATCTCCAGAAACCTCCCTTCCGTGAAGTCCCAGGTTTTCGGAAAGCAGCCCGAGGACATTGGAGCTCAGCACCCTACCGCTCCCCAAACTAGCAAAGGATGCATCAGGTGCGGAACAGCCAGGGAAGTTGAAGCTTTTAGGTTGCTTCAGGCAATGATCACTTCTCTTGTGGATCTTCTCAACAAAAAAGTTCAGATGATTCAGCAACCCTTACAGTAGCAAGAGACAAATCGGCCCTCAACCACCTTTGATGGGACGGGGCGGGGGACTGCAGCTAAAAAGCTGATTGGCAAAGAGCCTCTTTGGGGGTTTGTTCAAGCCCTGGGAGAACCTCATGCCCGCCGCACACCCTCCTAGAAGCTTTTGAACCGACCCTGTGAGCCAAGGCACGGTCGTCATCAAGAGCAGAAGAAACGATTGCTTCATGGTCATTGCCTAAACGGCAGGTATGTAACTCTTGAAAGGCTGCAGTGCCGGCTAAGATGAAGCGCAAGCTTCCAAAGCCAGAAAACTGCGGACGCGGCACGCTCGAGTTTGAAACGATGGCAAGCTGGGCGAATACAAAAACATCGTTGGGCCGTTCGAAGACAACTACCGTGAACTGCAAAACCATGTTCATTTCTAATCTAAATTTCTCAATGTTCCACTCAAAACGGAACTTGAGTAAATCTGACAGTCGCGGATGCCACACACAAGCCAGTGCCTGCCTTCGCTGGCCACACCAGGCAAATGCGAGACACGTGCTTGCTCACTCCCCAAACATCACCATGCATATATTCCAAGCAAACAGGAGGGCGGCGAATTTGTTACAATCAAACATCATCTGGTCGCTCCTCCTGCTAAATTCCCAATGCTTTCCCAACCACAGTCCAAAGCCATGTAGTGGCCGTAGGCGCGAACTCGTCCCCACACGCTGAGGTCTCATGCTTGGACATTGGAGATGACAGACTTCCTTTTTGGCAAGGTCACTGTGTTGCAAATCTTTCAGCAGTCGCATTTGCGAATGGGACCCACTGGTCTGTGCTTCGACAGAAATGAAAACCTGCGGTTTTTCGTTCTGCCTCGGAATCTTCTTGCAACTGATCGAGCACTGATGGTTCAGCACCTTCGACGGGTCACTGCAAAGGCTGCCTCAGTCTCCCTAAGGTCAGCATGGACCAAATGAAGCCAATCAGAAAGCCAAACCTGTCAGCAAGCCCCCCTGGACCAGGGTGGCCCTCAATGGGCGATTCCATTCATGACACTGCAGCAAGGTGCAAAATGAGTCCTCCGCCGAACATGAGCTGAATCACATAAGTGTAGCAACGCAGGGCACCGTGGGTCAAGCAGCGGCGACCACGGGAAAAGGCCGCTGAGATACTGTGGAGGCCCATCCTGGCGAAGCCAGAATTGCTTGTGTTTTGCGGGCCTGAAAGTGGGGTCGACCGACAGCCCAGTAAACACGCAACATCATCTTTGAGGTTTTGAAGCTTCTCGAGGCCGGCCCGAGGCCTCCTCCAGTTGAACAGGGCGCGATATAGTTTGCTTGCCCACTGGAGACCAACATCAGCTTGCAATGTCATGCCCGTCGAGAAGTCTGAAATCAAAACTTGCGGCAGCCAGAATAGCTTGCAGGATCATCTTAAGCGGTCGAGGCCCCTTCGAGGTCCGTCGTGATGTTTTGAGTAGAGAATGAAAAGGACTTGGAGCTTAAAATTCTTTTCACACCGAAAGAAGAGAGGCAGCCAGGGTTCGTCCGAGCTCGAGGCCTCGGAGACCCCTTTTATAGTATTATAAGTCTCCCCGGATGCTTCGAAGGCACACACCTTTGCTGCGTTCTCGCTTGTACTAGCAAACAAAGGCCCGCGCTGTGCGCACAGCGCTTCCTCAGCGTTCTTGCTCTTAACCAAGGGAAGCGCACAGACAAACAAACACCCACCTCGCCCCGTCCACAACGACGAACCAACGCCAGCAACACCATCAGCCGGCGGGCCTGACGAAAGCAGTCGAGCCATTCGGAAAAGATGCGCGGCGGTTTAACTAACCCAAATACCAAACGACCACTGCTCTTACGCCAAAGCTATCCGACAGATGATCGCGTGGTGCCCCTGCAGTGTTCAGTCCTTGCTCCCGGTTTCTGGACAGCACTCACCCACCCACAACAGACGGAACTGAAGCAAGTCCGTGTAGTGTCGACGAAGACGAAGATCCTCTGCTTTGGAGATGATTATAGATGAAGGATCTGCTTGCGCGGGCGGCGGCATGACTGCATTTCCAGCAACGCTGCCCACCCACCCGTGTGCGCATCCTTTCCCATTCTTGATACGGGGGGCACCTCGATAAACGACCGAGACGATGAACCAGCATGGATCCTTCACGCGGGAAAGAAGAAGGTCAAAGCTGCAAGTTAAAATCGCCAGCTTCCAGCACTTGATGTTCAACATCAACCGCTGCGGAACAGAGAATCTTGTCTACGGTACAGCTGGAAGCTGGTTGTTAAAAAGAACTTGCAAGCTAAAGGGGTTTTGGGATTTTGCCAAGGTAAAAGTTTAAAGGCTAATCTCAACCTTTCTAGAACACAAGTTCTCGGCGCACTTTTACCTTCACTCGCGGCGTTCCACGAGGGGCGGTGCTTGAGCCTATATACAGTCGGGCATGAAAAGTGAAATGTTTGTTACGCCCTCTTTGAAACTCGTTGGGTGAAACGATTTTCAAACACCTTCTCACTTTTCTCTCATGCTCCATTGAGCTCATCTTTCCTTTTTCACATACCCCTTCGGGTTAACCTTCTTCTTTCTTCTTTGGCTCCTGGAACAAATTGAAACACTTCTGTGCACTTGTGAATCTACCTCATGCACCAAATCTCATCTACTGCTTGCACTCACTTTTTCTCGCCAGTGTCGAGCTCGTCGTAGTCCAGCAGTCACTCCGCATTTCGTTTCTTAGAAACTTGTGCTTTCGTTCGTGGTGCTTCGTGGGCTTGCAACAAAACCATCATACCATTGCTTCGTAGCTTCTTTTGAAACACGAGACCACTGCACGCCTTTCTCACAAGCGGCTTTTGCATTGTCTCTTTGCTTTTCAAAGCACCTTCCATTTTCGCCATTGGCTTGGTGAAACGAATTGTTTGTGAAACTGATTTCTACCTTTCGGTCTTCGCAAAATGCGGTATTTGGGCCATTGCCCTCAGAATCTTGGGCTTTCGCCCTCTTCCTTTTCAGATCTTCAGCGCTTACAGATCCTCTTTGTCGATCTCGGCTGTCGGCTCCTTGGCCTCACTTCCTTTGGCCTTTTTCTTCTCTTCCTTCCTTGCCTTCTTCTCTTCCTTCTTTGCCTTCTTCCTCTCTTCACGCTCCTTTCTCCTTTCTTCTCTTTTGATCTTCTTGATGTTCTCCTTCGCTTGCTTCTTCTTCGCTTCTTCATCGCTCGTTTGGACTTCTTCGACACTCGGTCCTGGCGTTTCCGGCTCCTTTCTCTTCTTGAGCGTCTCCATCCCCCATTGGGGATTCGGTGGCATTCCTTTTGGCTCGGCAGGCCTTTCGCTTGTGTCTATCATCTTCTGGAGTTCTTCGCTAACTTCCGTTGCTCCTGCCCTTTCCTTTTCTGCCTTGGCCTTGTCTTCATTTGCTTGGCCTTGCTTTTGGTACCAGCATCTTTGGTGGGTATGGCTTCCCCACCCCGTGTACTCTGTCGGGTTCTTGCTCGTGTACCAGCACCACTTGCACCATAGGCCACGGTTCTCCTTCTTTCGCCACTCAGCACTTGGAACCTTTCCCGCTGTCTCTCTTGCCAGCTCCAGCATTGCCTGGCAGTCTACAGCTCGGTGCGGGCCTTTGCAGAAAAAGCATCCTGCCGGGCGCTTTCCGGTCTCCTTCTCGTCTCGGGTGCTCTTTTCCCCTGACTTCAAAAGCCATCTTGGGTTGACCCTGCTCAGGTCTGGCTCTTCTTCCTTTTTCTTCTTTCCTTCACCTTCATTCTTCTTCTCTTCGATGGCATCATCAACTTGCACAACTTCTGCCATCTCCTTGCGCAACTTCAACGGCTTTGGCATTGCCTTCGTCTTCACGTGCCGTTCTGAGCCTGCGGCCATTGACTCTGCCTCGCTGGCTCCTTCGGCCATTTTCCTTTTGCGCATTCGCTCGAGTAAGGACACTCTTGGTCTTTCTTCGAAAAGTCGACCGTAGTCTGGCGATGCTTCCACCAAACACTTCATCACTTCTTCACTTGTCTCCACAAGCATCCTCACCACACTCAGCATTCTCCATGAGTGCTTGAACTCATTGTACTCAGCCAAATGTCCTTCGGCTTCCTTCTTCTTCTCTTGCATCTTGGACTTCAGGCTTTTGCATTCTTCCATCATCTTCTCAATCTCACGGTACTTTTCGCCATCTGCCCGTTCGGCATCTTCCGCTTCCTTTTCTGCGTTGGCGACATCTTCGTACATCAACTCGCCAGAGTCCTTCTCATCTTGTTCTTGCTCCTTCAAGGCTGCCAACCATTGTTGCAACTTTGTTCCGTACCCCGTTGGGATCTTCACGACGGGACTTTCCATTGTCTCCTTGAATTCTTGGAACATTCTCTGCGTTGCTTCGGATCTCAGGACGTCGCAGTCGATCCCTGTCTCTTCGAGCATCTTTGCTCCATTTTCGTCCATCTGCATCGAGCTTAAAATCGTTGGCCATAGGCCTTCCTTTGCCAGGAGGACGTATCTCTCATCGTCTTCGGCCTTCTCGACCTCTTCCTCCTTTTTCTCTTCCTCTTCCTTTTCACCTTGGACCATCTTCTCGGGCGCTTCTTCCTGGTCCTTGTCTTCTTCCTGGTCCTTGTCTTCTTTCTGGTCCTTGTCTTCTTCCTGGTCCTTGTCTTCCTTCTGGTCCTTGTCTTCTTTCTGGTCCTCGTCTTCTTTCTGGTCCTTGTCTTCCTTTTGGTCCTTGTCTTCCTTCTTCTCCTTTTTCTCTTCGCTCGAACTTGACTCGCTTGAAGATGACTCGCTTGCGGAATCACTGCACGACGAGTCCTTCTCCTTCTTCTTTTCTTTCTTCTCTTTCTTCTCCTCCTTTGGCTCTTCAGCCTTTTCTTCTTCTTTTGGAGCATTCTCCAGTATCTTCCTTCTCTTCTCCTCAGCTCCAATTCTCATTTCCTTTAGCTCTTCCACCTTCTCTTCCATCATTTGTTCGTGGATCTTCTCTCCTTCCATCGTTCTCTTTTCTTCCTTCTTTTCTCTTCTTCCTACTCGCTTGAGCAAGAGAACGGCTGCGGGATAACCGGTGCAACAAACCATGCATGTCACACAACCGATCATGATACACATGACTATTCCCAGTCCTTGATCTTCTTTCTTGGCTTTCTTGGCTTCTCCCATTCCTATCAACACAGCCATCGTTACAGCTTGTATGATCTTCGCTAATCGTTCATCGTCCATTCGCCGGCCATTGCCGCTTCGGCCATTGCCGCTCGTTCTTCGCACTTGTACATTTCTTTCAACTTCTTCTTGGTCCACAAACTCTCCTACATATCCGAGGCTTGCCATGTACTTCCGGATCTTGTCTTTGCTTAAGCTCTTTGTTCCCAGATCAGCTGGGTTGTCCTTTCCTTTGATCGCTTTGATGATCAACCTCGGGATACTCTGGATCCATAACA